AGAAAAATAGACTAATTTTTAGGTTTTATATATGCATTTGAAATAACAAAAATTATAAATTACTATATAAATAACCACAGAATTCCACTATAATTATCAGGCTTAGTAGCTAAGCTGTGTTTGGGTCTAAAAAAAATTATTTTTTCAAGCTTGATAACGTGTTACCTTGGAACCTCTAATGAAAAGAAAGTTTCCTGCATAAATACTTTACAAAGGCTCAAAGAACCATGTGGGGGATATTCTGAGCTTTCGATTGGTTATTCACACATCATAGACAGAAGTTGGTGTATGTAAGCAAGTATTTTCAAAAATGGAAGAGATGGACAGGGCCACCTAGGTTGATTCAATAAATATATTAATATCTCAGAAAATATAAAAGACAGGAGGTTATTATCTTGTCAATATCGGTAATTTGAGTATCTAATTTATAAGAAACTATAGAATTTGTATTTGCGCATTACAAACATCTAATATGAACCAATGCTGTATTCAATATACCATGTGACACACAAAAAATGATATTTAGGATTTTTTTTTAATATTTACTTGTACATTAAAAATTAACTAATTTATAATACTAAAATTTGGATTATAATCTATAATTTGATACTAAGCTTATTGACATACATTCATAAAATAGTAGTTCAATAAAATTTTGAATGTGAGTCTACAAATGCCATGACATGGCCTTTGACCAGTGACCATAGGAAGACCTGTGTCGGTAGGGTTAAGGTACTTTTTGCCTGAATGTTCTATTAAGGTTTTGTGAAATTCCTTGTGATCCCTATTATGAACCACTATCACGATTCATGATAAACATGTCTCATATTTGAAGCACTACCACCAAAAGGTGAACAAAACCTCAGTACTAAATCTAACTGCAAGATAACCACAAATAAATGTACACCAAGTTATCTGACATACCTAAAACATATAACAACAATGATAACATTATTTATCATCTATTTCATTGACAACATATAATTTATAACTAGAAATACCTATACCTTAATGATTATGTGGATCTATCTTAATCTTCAAGTAGTATTTTTATTTCCTATAAATTCTAACTAGTTCTATCTTTACCCTGATAATGAAGAAGTTTGTCTAGAAGCTGAAGAAGGTAGTTTTCTGGACAGTCCACTGACACTGCTGGTATCTGAGTACAAGTCTGCATCAGCTGAGAAGGTTTCATCCCCTGAAGGTTAATCATTTTCTATATATTATTCTTTGATAATACTAATGTAAGGAGGTTTTAACCTACTGAGATATATTTTACTGTGTTAAAATATAATTAAAACAAATAGTTTTCAGCCATTTCACACAGCAGGTTTTTTATTAGCACTTTCAATTGTTATTATTATTGTCTATAATTAAAACTACTTGATACTGATATTTTTTCATCTATTTTTGTATCTTTATTTCACAAGGTTATGAATGAAAACAACTGTGAGAAGCCGCAGTACAGAATTATAAACATTCAGGGACAAGTGTCTCTGTTGTAAACCAAGTAATTTCTTTACTAGGTCAAATTATATCACCTCAAAACACGCATAATTCGTTCCTCTCTTCACTACATTATGGTATGATGAATTACAAAACAGGAAAGATAGTATTGTGTCAAAAGGTGGTCCAGTTTATCTATTTTATTTTACTTAATTAAGTTCCTCATATTTTAATAATAAGTTCTGCAATGAAGATTATTATCATAAGATGTCTTTCATGTCAGAGTGTTCAAACCAATAAATAAAGGAATATAAATGATTGTGCAGATTTCAACTCATCCATCAACACCATAAGTTGATTTATGATATGAAAATTAGAAACAAAGAAGAAATGTATAAATAAAAAACATGCAATTTCACTTATTCATAACAAGTGATAAATTATGTTATGTGCAAACACACATAAAGGGCTGTAAAAAACTATGTTAGCATAATATGTATTTGTTCTTCCACCCCTACCTATAAAAGAAGAGTCCTTTTCAAAAAAAAAGTTATAATATGCTATTAAAGATCTTATGAACATTTATATAACAAATGATAATTAAGCTCACACAAAACTTCAGTTTTCTTCATTTTTTTTGTGTTGCGAACATATTTCAACCGCTGGGTGTAAGTTGTAATCTTTTCTGTCATCTCCTGAATCATTTCTTGAATAACAGAGCTTTGGTTCAAAATGTTAGGCCTGAGATGTGTCTCCATAAGGTCCAGACGTTTATATTTGTGTATCTGTAAAGATTAACTATTTTTTAACATAAAGTTACTTACATTACAATTAGCTTTATATATCACTAATCTAACTTCACTAGAACAATTAACAACTTCTAAAAATTCAATAAATGTTGTACTTGATGAGAAAATTTAAATTCACTAAGCATTGTAACTAATAATAAAATTATTGAAAAATAACGTGTAGAGACATAAATAAAATCATGCATCTTTAATTTCACTCATCAGTAAAAAGTGATGAATTATGGTAGATATAGCAATTATGTAACACCAAAACTGTGTAATATTAATATAATTATATGTATTCTTCCTTATTATATTCATCCATGAATCTATACAAGATATAGTTTCATTAATAGATAAAATTAAAAGAATGAACCCAAAAGGTTTTTGTGATCCTGTACAAAAATATTTATTTATATCTGTTGCTGAAACTAAAACAAAACAAAACAAAAAAAAACTTCAAATTGAATGAAAATAAAATTGTTTACACAACTTACCATTCTGATGGCTTCCTTCCAGTTGTGACCTTCGATTAAAGTTGCTATAGCACCCTCAGAGTCCTGAACAATAAACAAGTTTTGATTAACATTCTATAACACCACAATAAATAAATGAAAATATAATTGAAATTTGGCTTAAAAAAATTTATCAGCTTACAAATTCATATATCTTTCCATGTAGTGTTGTTATTAAACTATTTCAACAAAACTTTCAAAACTAAAACAAAAACCTTAACTTATAAAATAATACTAACAATACTTAGTATTACAGAGATAAAAATATGTAAGTACATGAATATATGAGCAAGTATAAGAAGGCAAAGTGAAACTATACAAAAAACTGTAATTATATAAAACTTTCAGATTGCTTCTTTCAACATTCACTGATATTAAATAAAAGAAAAAGTCACTTTCTTTCTCTAGTTGATAGTCTAGACATTTAAAATCAAGTTGGAACAATCTTGTGTAAAATAGTTATCAAAATACTCATCAGGACAATGTCAAAAATTACATAATATAAAAACGTCATTGAAAACATCAGACCTTATTTAGACTTCAAAGTGTCTTGGTGGGTCATAGACACACCATTATAAGGAAGGAGACAAAAATGAAATACTATTCCAATATTTACACACATTTTCTTTCTTGCATAATACAAAAACTTGGATCAAGCAATTAGTATAAAGGGTGCTACCATCTATTTCTCTTTTTTCAAAATAGACTTCCAGAAATAAATTTCTAGCCTCTCTATTTAAAGTTAACTTTTAATTCTTAAATATTTCTAAGGATTTTCTTGTATTTAGTTTGTATTTATTATTACAACGTGTAATTATTTAACATTGTTCCAATTAATGCTGTAAGAAAGAACACTGTTTGCCATATTTTAAGCTAAAAATTACACATTAATTTTACCTTTTTCTATGCATGTTTTATGTCATCAAGTCTACATTTTAAATATTCACTTCTAGCCAAGATACATTAGACCAAGTTATAAGATATTTTATAAATACCACATACCATATGTTTAAACAATTTCTCCAAATATAAGTAATATTTTCATTTTGGGTCAAACTTAGTCATTTTAGAGTTAGTATCAAAATAAATTCACATTAACAGCTAAAGTGGTATTTATAAAATCTTTTGTCGTCTAATTTATATTAACTAAATATGTAAAATTTAAATTTATTGCACAGAAATCAGCTATAGAAAAGTAATGAATAATCTTTAGTTCTTTCTCAAAGTGTTAATTGGAACAATGTTATGTTGATTAAATTTTTGTAATAATAAATACAAACTAAATATAAGAAAGTTGTTAAAAATATTTAAGAATTTGAAGTCGACTTTAAATAAAAAATCTGGTCCAGGGGTTAAAAATTTATCTATAAAATAGAGATAAATATGTGGTAGCACCATTTATGATAATTGCTTGGTCAAAGTTTTGCAATATAACAAGATAGGAAATATGTATAAATGGCAGAATAGTGTTTCACTGCTGTCTTCTTCCTGATAATGGTGAGCCTGTGACCCACTCAAACATGTAAAAGATTTAGGTAAGGTATGATGCCATTAATAAAATTTTAAAGTATTTATATTGTGTAATTTTTAATGTTATTCTTTCCAAGTTTTTTAATAGAAATTAACAAATTTTATGATTCATGTGTATACAATGTTTAATAAAATATTGTTTTCAATCTAAATATAGCTATGATATACAGAAACCATCATGAATGCTTTATACTAAAAATCCATATTTATTCTGACATCCATCAAATTTAACATACAAAATACTCATCAAAGCAGATTATTACTTACCATCACATACTGGTCAAGCAAAACAGCTGCCTCAAAATAGTGCTTATTTCCTTTCAATGTCTCTATGAACAAAATTTTAACAGTATTTAAACTCACACAACATTTCAAAGCTAAATACCATGATGTATCTACATTTAATAAAAATATAATCAAAATACTAAATTGTATAGATCAATTACATTTACAATAAAAATCTTAAAATAAAACGTCTTAAGATTTGGAGATGGCTTGAATGGGTAATGAAGAAAAACTTTGATATAAGTTTAACATAACAGCAAATGTACAACGTTTTAACAAGGTTTTGTCATCATCAGGTACCTTCAAGCCGTCTCCAAGCATTATTACTCTCAAAGTGGATTCCTCGTCATCGAAATTAAGATTTGCTGTGCATACTGGTATTTGTTTTCTAATAAGAAATATACACTACTTCATGTACCAATGACCAAAAGTTAAAATTTTGTATGCTAGACATATGTTGACAGTACATTATTTGCTACTACCCAGCTATCAGTATTCAATTGTTCAGTGTTTACACATTAACAATTTATTTTATATGGATCATAAATTATAACATATTATTTTAGGTAAGTCTATATGGAAACAAATTGACTGTAGACAATTTTTAGTCTTGAGGTAAGTGTTAAAAGAAGGTCGACTTTTAAGTACGCAATTCAAAAAGTGAGCCCTGTGTTGGTATATGTGTTTATATTATCATTCGTTTAAAGATTTCACGATATAAGTCTTAATTACTGCTTCAGTCTGATCAGTGCACAACATCTACATATTTTCAGATAAAGGAGATGGCTCAATTTTATTGGTTGTCCGAGACGACTGAAAACTACCTCAGATGACCAACTTAAACTTAAACTGGCTTCTATCCAAGTCAATACAAACTACGAGTATGAATAACAAAATATATCAGCAGTGTGTGTGCACAGTGCAGCACTCAGACACTGTGTATGTATTACGTTATAGTAATATGTGTGAGCGTTCCGATGCAAGTTTAGTCTTACTACAGGCTGTACTCTACTGTACTTGGTGGGCAGGCCAAGCTGATTAGAATGAAAACATTGGACACGATTGGCCAAGATCGCTGTTCTGTTTAAAAGTTTTACAGATCATTGATTATTTCCTTAAGATACTATGTAACATTAGCATGGTTTGGGCTTATTTTTTCCAATGTAATGAAACTTCCCAGGAAATAAGGCATCAAAAATTAGTTGAATAAAGATGCAAAGTTGCCAAATAAACATTAATTGTACTTTTTGGAAATAAACAAGATATAAAAACATCAACATTTAAATTGGGTCTTTTTACCTCAATATTGTTGTAATTGGATCTTTTTTATAGGATCTATATATAATTTTTTTTTTGACAACCAATACAGCCTTTGGACAACCTGGGAAATTTCCTTAAAATCTAGCCCTGAAGGAGACCAAATGAGTGGTTTAATAATAGGATCTCTACTTCTACCAATCTTAACTGATAGTGTAATAGAAAACCTATAGTATCATAAACCCTCAACTCTGTAACCTTAACAGATGGGTGCCAAAGTGTGCATACCAGGATCTTTTACAGAGTGCCATTCAACAAGATATTATGCATTTGATGTCAAAGTTATCGACTATTCACTTTATACAACACTGCTGATTTAACAACAGTTCATGGCAGAGGAGAGTAACTTCCAGATACAGCATAAAGGTATACTACAAAGACAACAAATATGTAGCTTAGATGTTCTAGAACATGAACATCACCTTGTCCTACTTGTCAGAGTCAGACTGACATCATCAATTCATAGAAATATCTTGAGTACAAATAATTGTACATTTTCCATAAAGCTTACCACACATTATGCAGATACATGTAGTAAGTTCAAAATTAAAGTCAATATTTCTTCTGCAAAACAGGGTAGTCCATTGGACCGACCCTATACACATTTGGTTAAAACTCAGTTTATAGAGAAGTTACATGGTCTACACATTCAATATATGGCTAAGTGGAAAAGATACCATAACTATGTTTCTCCTCACTCAAAGATCCAAAGTTTGCATGGACCAAAACCAACAGATCACTCTCATTTTGAGTCCTTGTTGTCAGACAAGACCACCACATTACCAATGTTTACAATTGGATATCTTTATTTTTAGTCCACCTAACCACAATGTGGAATAAACAGAAATCTCTAAAACGCAGCTTAGAAAACTTACAGACATACTTAAGTGAAGAATGAGACAGTAAACCTCAACTATGAATTTAAGAATAATGAGTGCCCTCAAAAATTCATAATCTTGCAAATACAATGAAATCCCTTGAGACCAACAAGAAACCATAACAATCAGTATACCATATTTCTCCCAAGTAATATACAAAACCAAGAAATCCAGGCCCATCACATATTTCTAATTGAATCTACACTTAGGAATATGATGATGAAGATTAAGCAACTACCCTGTTTCTGTGAATAATTCTGTATTGAAGAGACATGGAGACACAAAATTTGGAAATCAGCCCTTAGCTTTCAGTAAATGGGCTCAGTCATTCTAATCAACCTTGTAACCACCATTTAACAGTAAAACTACGAACACTATAACTTTGAAGTATACCATAAAAAATCTGGCAAGCTTTTAGTAAACATTATGAGGTTTTTTAATAAAGTACTTTTATTAAAAACTTGTCTCTACATTTACAAAGCCTTTAGTGAGTCAGTTTGAGTGCAGGATGATTTTCATGTTAAGAATGAAAATACTTTTTCCTCATCTTACAGTATTTAAATTTTATTTGCATAACCTCTAGAACCTCTTATGTGAATATCAAGTTTTTCAGTAACAGTTATATTTTATCTCATATTTTCTCTACCCTAACAATAACTGTACATAGGGTCAGCCAATTTGATTAACTTTGTACCACAAAAAAAAAAAAAATATAGATCTAAATTACCCTTTTTCGTGTTCCTATAATGACAGCACATTCTGACAGGCAATTATATACTACTTATTTTTAGAGTCAAAGCTAATACTTTTCAAATCTCTTGGTCACTTAGATTTACTGGTTTACAGCTGCACTTAGAGAGCAAGGTAAAAGCAATTTATCACAGCATGGCAGCTTTGTGTAAAAAAAGTATTGAATTACCAGCATGAACAGCCAAATTACAACATGCTGCACTTGCAAGACACATATTTGCTATCTAGATTTAAAAATTTTGTATCTAACCTAATAAATTTCTAATTTTTACATCTTAGTTACTGTTATAACACTAAATAACAAATATATATATATATATGTAACCAGAAATTTACTACTCGTGTGTTGATTTTTCTGCAATCAAAGTCTCAAGAAAAGTTAAATCTACTTTCTGGTAAGATTGTTATTTTACTGAAATTTTATTTATTTCAAATGGTCAAAATGGATGAAGTTTGACACTTAATGTGTTTCTGTACAAAATTAGTGGGTGAAAGCTTATTGTAAAATTACTTATTTTAACCTAAATTTTACCTGCAAATAAGGATCACATTAGAGAATAGAATTTTACACTAGGACTGCTTCTGAATCACTATTTAACAGCCCAACCTTCCTATGACAATCTGACTTGAAGAAAGCTAAAGCATGAAAATTGAAATATTGTCCAAAAACTGTCCATAGATAGTTCTGTTCATGTGAACATGCCTGAGGCATGTACACCACCCAAACTTTCACTCAAACATTATGTTATCTTCTCATTCCTATAAGCTGTAATTATTTTATCATTCATGATCAACATGATAATAATAAATTATTTTTATCCAACAAAAATTAACAATACTTCATTCTCTGGTAACCACAAGTCCAAACTAGGTGATCTTGTATTGTTTACAAGCTAACAATACTTTATGTTCCTGAGAAAAGACAAAAAATTCTTAATTCATTAGAGAACACGAGTTAACTATTTCTTTACCTGCAAATGATAGTGCAAGCTCTACCACTTGATTCTCACTATTTCCAGCTTTGGTTGCAGCACACAATGCCAGTTCCCAGTTCTGACTCTCTTGAAATGCTGTCACAGCTTTTTGGTACTGCTCACTCCGAGTGTATATAAGGCCAGCTTCTTCATAGTACTTTTTCTCAATTAAATAATCACCATAAGCCGTCCAAATAGCCTAAAAATATTAAAGGAACTAAAACAATGTAATTTTATTGTGCTTTTCATATTTTTAAATGAAAAACTAGTTTATTAATAAAATGTAGTGTTGTTTTGTATAATAACCTAAATGTACTTATATTTTCCAAATCTTAAAAATTAACTAACCTTCCACTCCAAAGATCCTTCATCAAAAATATGAAGAGCATCTTTATACAGTCTTTGGTCTTTGATTAAGTTCAAACACTCATCAAAATGGCCTTCTGCAAAAGATAAGTTACTTTTATACATTACATATAAAACACTTATCTTTTTACACTTGTTATTTTATTAACTTCTAGAGTTAATTAAAATAATTAGAATGGAGATCAAATACAACCAGTTTCTGTAACGAGAAGATCATTTCTAATGTATTTGGTAAAAATTAATGGAAATGTAGTATGTTAAACCACTGATGATAATGTGAAATGACACATGACAATGTTTTAAAATTATGTCAAACATATCATTAAGTATTTTTAGTGGTTTTTATGTGAATAGGAAGCTTGCTTGTACCAACAGTGAAATAGGACAACAGTAAGTTGTGGAAAAGATTCAAGGGTAAAAATGTAATTACATATTTAAACAAAAAGTAGAATAATCAAATGAAAAAAAGGTTTAAAATAGAATGAAGGGTGAAATAAGGGTCTAAATTTCAGCTTTTTTGATAGTGAGAAACTATAAGACAAAGTAATTTTCAACTATGAATACACAAGTTATCCAGGCCAAATTCCCTAAAACATGGTAATACATTACTCACAACATAAGATCTATTACTGCATTTTTTCATTTATTTTTGTTTGTTGTACTGTTTACACTTGAGTTTAAATAGCCCAAAGCCAGCACAAAAACTGAAACTGATTTTAATACAACTTCCAAACTGGTTGTCAAAGTTGTCCTATTTGGATAAGGATCAACTGCTATTTTCAGTGACGCATTGTTAGAAATTTAAATATTTCAGCACTAACAATAACAAGAAGTATTCTGAATAAGAGCAGTTGAGGACAAAGTACAAGAATGTGACTTTTACAAAATATTTTAGCACATAGAACAATGGATGAGTTTCAGGATGAATATTATTAACATCCAAGACAACAGCAACATTAGCTTTAAAGGTGAAATAGAAGAAACTTTCTTCTTTCACTTCTAATTTTCTTGGTTGGAAACTATTTAGCCCTTTTTTTCTTGATAACTTTCTTTCAAAGGATATTCCATTGTGGTCATACTTACAGCAACAGCAATTATTGCCTTAAAACACCCTTTTACAATGTATCTGAAAGTAACATGAGGAAAAGGACTGATGTATGGTATTAACATAATGCTCTTCATTTGTTTATATTCTTTAACCCTTTTGAGATGTGTCACAGGTGAAAGGCCATGTCATCTCGGTTGTTGACTCGCATTCAAAATTTTATTGAACTACTATTT